CAACCAGCAATCGACGATGTTACAGCGTTAGTGGCGCGGTGGAGCGGATCTGCCTAACTGGAGCGCTCCTCTTGTACAGACCGAGGAAGAATATTGTAAATATATATAATATAATACATTGGGAGCTTCAAATTAACGAATTTAGCAAGGCAAATTTGATACTGGTGACATTTTACTTGCTATTTTTGGTTTAGAATAATAAACTGATAAAATATGAGCCATTAAAATATCCGTTTAAAAATTAATTTTTATGGTCAATACTTCAAAAAAATCCAGTGTCTCCAACATGTACAATTAGTTTTTACTTTTAATTTTGAATATAGAAAAATTAATTGTTTTAATTATTTTAATACATAAAAGAAGTTAAATATTCAAATTATTTATACTGTCAAGTGATTCATGCATTGTCTCCGGCTTTATGCAAGTCTGCAAAATTTCAGATAGATTGGACAGCTGGAAGTGTGTCAAATATTGAGTATAAGATTTGTAGCAGACAAAATTATTTTTTCAGCTTTTTAATATTGAAAAAAAAAATTATTTTTAAAATTATTTATTTTGTCATTTGATTCATGCATTGTCTCCAACTTTACGCAAGTTTGCAAAATTTCAGGGCCCATACTTTCAAAAAAAGTTAAGAGATCGTAAGTTCATCAGCCAGTCATTGACGGTCTTTCAAGCAAAATCCACCAATCATAGACAAGAAAATAGAACGTAAGTACTTACGTTCACTTTGCGAGTTTTGAAAGTATAGGCCCAGATCGATAGGATAAGTAGAAGTGTGTTAAATTTCGGTTATAAGATTTGTAGCAGACAGACAGACAAACAAGAAGTGAAGTTAAAGAGAAGTGTTGTAAAAACGCGCATATTTTACTGTTTTCTGTTCACAGCTTCAATTTCGCTACATTGCGTGTGTTATTGAGACTAGTAGTCATCTCGTAAATAAAACTATAATGATAATAACGATAATATTTTTGAAGTGATCACGATCACATGTGAACGAAGACACTTTCCGAAATAAATGAACGTAGATATTTACAATAATTTTAGAATGTCTACAGTGTGAGTAAATACATAGTGATATTTTGAACCAGCCTAATTTAAGAGCATTTAATGTTTGAAAACAATTTTTAATGCCCCACGCATCGACATGATTCAGTGATAAGTAATAGTAACAAACATCCAATTGTCGAGTTATTTTTCATTTAGCGGTAGTCTAGGTCATGAAACATTACGCTCATAAAATGTTGGGCATTGATAAGATGCTTGGTATATTCTATCCTGCTTCTGTCCTACAGGTGTCTGTCCTATGGCTTACGGCGCTAGCTCAGTTATGAAGGCATGGCAGTCTTCTCGGTGACCTGAGGCTATCTACTGCCTTAGCTTCTCGCTCCGATCAAGAGTAGATGAAACTATCGCGACCTCTCTTTTCACTTGCCATACTTTTCAGTAGGTTCTTGCATTGTATAGACTAGGGTGCAAATCTATAAGTCTAAAATCCATAACAAAATAATGACGACTCACCCCAAATCATGAACGCCTTGAAATAATCGAAGCTTTTAGTGGTGTACTAAACAGTATCAGAAATACAGTTTTTTTTAAGCGGAAGAAGTACAGCAAAACAATAATCCAGATTTATTCGGTTTTACAGTGATTGGATACTGGAGTGAAGGAGGCTACGGCCTAAAAATATAAAAGTTTAAGACCCTTAGATTTAAATGAATAAAATTAGTACATGTTCTACTTGTAAAATTGTAAAAGCTGTTTCTCAGCAAGCGCACTTTAACCGCCAAGCCATCGTTTAATTTTTGGCTTGCAGGAAATTCTTCAACAAGACATGAATCATTCATCACTCAGCCCACGCAAATTATCCAGGTATATAGAAATTTATTTCCTTCACTTTTTCACGCTTCAATACCGCACTCATTGCAGTGTACAGTTGATTAAGTTGTGGAATAGACTTTTCTATGTGTGAAGTGGACTTTTCTAAATTGGACTTATTCTTAGTGGAGCATATTTTTCCAATTTTATAATTTTAGCGTTGAGAGATAGAGATCATAGATTGGGAATGACGAGTAGCAAGTATTTCTTCGTGCGCATATTCTCGTATTCTTAGTTTTATATGCGCTTAGAATATAGTTTGGAATCATTACACAAAATATTTATTCATATAAATTTTGGACAAGCTTCGCTGCATAACAATGAGCTAAAAAATAAAGTTCCTCTAATTCTTTGATTATAAAATCAGAAAAATCGCAGTTGTAGATAACCCGTGAATAAATTATAATACACGTAACTGCCAATGCACATATCCTTCCAATTTTACTCGTTCTTTTATCTCAAAAAAAAAAAAAAATCATCGCACAAAGTCCTCACCTTCTCATCCCTCTCCAAATATGTATTCAAATTTTTTTGCAGTACTGAAATTTAATTTTTCAGTAAAAATGTGCAGCATAATTCGCTAAGAGAATTCAAATGCTACCTCATTTCTATGTACGGACTATTTAATACTTAAACTATTGAGCATCATTCTACAGTTAGTTCACTGTGATTTATGGGGTAGCAAGTCGGCGTAAAAAGCCTAAATATTGCGCCTGCTTTCATAACTTCCTTAATCTTGTTGGCTCAATGATTTTTTTTTTTTCGCAACAGCACAGGATGCGAGCATCGTTGGTGCATTGCAGGGTCACATGCACGAGCGCTATCATGGCGCATGCAATCTGCTAAGATGGATCTGTCGAGATGATCCGAACTGATTAGAATTTGTGCGTGATAAATGCAATTAAACGATGGTACAATCGAGCATTTTGTCTTGTTTTCGCGCGACTCCAAACTATTTCTATACAATTTACTAGAAATTGCAAACTTTGCCATATCTTAATGTTCAATTTTGGGAGAATGAAATTTTTTTAGCAAAATAAATTAACCGAAGTACGGGATGAAAATTAGATGTTATTGTGTTATCAGACGAAGAAAAGATGGTAGTTTAATTTAGAAGAGAATTTGGTATATAACTCTTCTAACAGCCTAAAAATGAACAAAAAATGCAATAAAATTGAACTTAAGTCGCAGGATTTTAAAAGAATTATGAAATTTTATTTTTTAAGTATTTGCAATCAAAATTATTCAAAAAAGTACGCAATCAAAATTATTCTTTTCGAAATGTATGAGGTGCAGAATTTGAAATCTTAAATTAAGGCTAACATTTTCCTAAAATTTCCCAACGGAAAAACATTGGAGTGCAAATTTATTTTTTCCACAAGAAAAGATTGCTTTGCGCAAAATTCGGGATTCTCTATCCATCGTTGCAATTATCTCTCATTCGTTGCGAAATTCCCATCTCTAAAAAATTGGGTAATTGGGAATAAGTTGAATTTGGCATTTGTTAAAATTGGCATACGAGCTGAAAAAATTTAAAAAGGTATCTAGGAGTAATAAACGACTAGATTTGTTCATCGATTCCAAAGCTTAATTGAGAATGCAGTATTTCCATATTTTTCTTGCAAGTAAGCTTCTTCCAGAAAATCTGTCGTGCTTTAGTTTTGCGTTCATGAAAACAAAGCCAGTTTACTCACATCCTAATATGTCATTTCAAAATTGCATTCGTGCTACTGACCTGTTGAAGGTACGATGTATTAAGTCTGGGCCACACCGCACAGTTTCCTTGAGCTCTCGCAAGATCGATGGTCACGTGTTAGCAAATCGCGCAGGCAAACAGCAGCACCATCGCGTGCCTGCGCTGAGCTTGCCATGTTTGCGCGACGGTCTGCCCAGGGTATGGCATAACAGACAGTAAAAAGTCCTGGCTCTGGACTAATGTGATGCGGACACGAATTTGATGCGGATAGATCTATGGTGATTAATTTCCACAACTGCTATCTTTTGCTATAAATTTTTATTAATCAGGTAGATAATCAAGTTCGACAGATTTTGTGCATTGATTTCACGTAAAATATTTTAAAATTATAGAACATTTAGGTTGATTTGTCTAAAACGGTGTTATACATGCATCGTCAGTAATTAACTTCCGCTGCACGTCATTGTGTTTATAATTTTAAATTTACTTGAATATGTCCAATTTGATTGAAGCAGAAAGATCAATAAAACTGGTAAGGACGTAGGTTTGTTCAGAGTACAGGAAAATAATTTCCGGTGTTATACCTTTAAAAAAAGGCAAGCTTCCGCCCCTGTATTTGCTAATGTACGTTTAAGACGAGATTGTAGAGCGTTGCTCTTATGACACCGTAAGATTAAAAGTTTAATTTTACAGGCAAAAGGCGGTGGACGAAAGTGGCAGCGGCTCATCATTTCATGGAATTTCCCAGCTGACAACCCATGTGTCGCCACCAGAATTTTCAGCAATTATGGACAAAAATCAATTCAATTGTCAACGCGAATCTTTACATCAATTTTCCAGCAAATCCATTCGGAAACTTGATTTAATTTCTAACAATTTTAAAGCATGTGTCAACCATGAATTGGAAGCAACAAAAACCCGCGCCTTTTTGAAAAATTTATCGTGCCTTCCAAGCCAAGAGATGGGCGATGGAGAAGAGGAAAAATCGCGTAACTGCGGGAAAACTGAAGCAAGAAATTCACCAAAGATCGAAGAGGTGCCAGTGGTGCCCTGCCCAGAGGTTCTCAAGAAACTTTTGAAAGCTTATCGTAAAAATAAGAGGCAAGACACATTTGTCAATGGAGATATCAGAGTATGACCCCAGGCCAAGGGCAAAAATTTCGCTCATGATTTTTCTAAAGATTTATTTTGCTGGAATAAAATTATCAACTGCTGAATTAAGATTCCGAAAAAAACTATGATCGCAGTTTCCTTTGAAATAATAATAATAATAATAATTTGGAGGGTAAGTAAATAGTTTGGTTATTCCATTAAGCGCAATGAAAGTAAGATCTTTAATTAAGATGATTGACACTAATGGAAAGAGATGTGGGCAGGTCACGACTTACCATTTCAGAGCGCAGCCACGCGTCAGCCCGGGAGAAGACGAGTCTGAAATCCGAAATCTCATTTTGTCACTACCGTACTGGCAACGCTGCAGTTGCTCACAACTAACTATACCTACAGTGACGGAAGACTCTATACCATTCATATTTTCTCTTTCGCCAGCAAACAGGAGCATCATCGTTATCGTTGTTATGTCAAATTCAAAGTAAGTCCGGGCGAGCCTAGAGTTTAACGTGCCTGAATGCTAGATTCACTAACAGAATTGTACCTCTGAACTGTTCTAAGCACTAAGGTGGCCGAGAAGCTGGCCTTCATCACGCCGCATAATTTAAAATTACAATTGTCTTAGTGCGTTCCATTCAACCTAATGATTGTTCCACGTGACACTGAGTCATATTTTTAAACAAATACAAGACAATCCGAATACTACTAAGTAGGTATTATCTGGCCTACTAACTTATTTGTCGGCAAAGTTATACGTAGACTGAAATCAAATGGAGATAACAAAATAAAGTAGAATAACGTTTACATGTTCAAGTCCTATTGTTCCCTCAGATCAGTGGTTGTCGGCGGAGAGTCACTATTGACCAGCGTTTACCGGTCATTGAACGCACCGCATCTGAAGCCTTGCCTGCAACGTTCAAGTGAATCGTCCATTGCGTTTCTGCGTTACGATTTAGCAATTTCGCCTAAAGCTTCCAAAAAAAGCAAAAAAGGTATAACTCATAAGATAAAAAAGGGAATTTTGAAGAAAAACTCGGTGGTAAATAAGCGGAAAATATATGACCCAAGGATTTCTAAGAGAGTCGACATTCAACTTAACAAATGTGAACAGAATCCGATTGGAAGTCGTAAAGAACCTAGAACGTATAACCAGCAGTGCGGCATCGTCCAAGAATCGCATTCTGAAGATGAAGCGACGGATTCCGAAGAATCCGTTTCAAGTAATGATTCTAAAAATGAAGACAATGAAGAAATAGGCACAGAAGTATTACCTCCGACATACGAAAGCGTTACTGAAGCGAATGATACAAAAATATCTCAAAAGTTAACTTGGGACGCATCGACTGCCAACTTCACGAAAGAGAAACAAATTGAGAAGGAAAGTCATGAAGTCTTAACGTTTGATGCACTGTCAAATTACGGAACAGCTTATGATGAAAGTTTGAGCACCTCTGTTCTTAACCGAGGGCAAAGCATGAAGCCTGGAATGTTATTGGTACGTTAACGATTTTCCAGCTTATGTAAAAAGTTAAGTAGTTGAATGTTATATGGTAGTTAATGATATTTATTTTGTGTATATTTCAGCATAAATATTACATTTCTATCAAATGATACGACAGATATAAACTGCGCTTACATGAATGTTTTTTTTTTCAGATTTATCTCAATGGAAAGTTGCTCTACTCAGGCTATCCGTTTCCTTCTTACGGCTGTAAGAGAGAAGACTTCATGGAGTTCGTTTCCTCGGTCACTGGCGTCAAATATATCTGAACGCCTGCCTCTTCACTGTAGGAGAATACTACCGGACAGTCCAATTCTGCTGTTCAGCAGGACATGACTACCTCGGGGTGTTGTCTGAGGTGTGTTGCGTTCCAAAATATCGCGTTCATAGGAGCATTATTCCTGAGTGCCCCACCATAAAACACGCCGTGTTGAGTTGTTGTTGAGTCAGTCGATTCAGTTGTTGAGTCTCACGTCGTTAAGAAGGCAGGATTATAAAATTTCTCTTCTCTGTCTCGCGTGCATGTGGTCCACGTCTTGAGTAGGCGACCTTTTTTTTTATCTCCGTAGCGGTTGCTATTCACTTGTAATTATTACTTCGTCTCTGTGAGATGTTAAAGCTGTTGCTTTCTTGCCGGCTCCAGCAGAATGGTCACTTGAGGCTTTCTGCCTCTGAGTGATGAAAAATTGGAAATGGCTGAATAGAATTGGAAATGGCTGATCATTGATCAAATTGCTGGAAATGGCTGAATATTGGCTTAATGGCTGAATATTGGCTTAATGGCTGAAAAGCTAGCAAACAATATGATCAATCAATTATATGCTATCAGCAGGACGTGAATACCTTAATACCATCAAAAAATTCAGTAATACCGACGAAATCTAAAATATAACGGCTTTCTTTTTCAATATGGGGTACGTTATTTTGTTCCTAAAATCGTTCGTTTGAAGCAGTATTATATTTAGACACAGAATTTCGCGGTATTGAACACTGATCTCACAAACTCGTACATCAAGTCATTTCCAGAAAAAAAAACGGAGGATAAATAAAAACAAACAATTTTCACTAAATTTACAATAAGAGAACAATATACATTCTGTCGGCTAGCCAACAAACTTCTCATGGATAACTAGAACAGCACGAACACTGGATTCGAGTTCACTAGAACTGGAACTGTTATTTGACGCACGCATTTGTGTAATCATCGCATTTCTACGGTCAGATTAACATGAGAATAAATGCTTCTTAGAACCACAAGTTACATTAGCTAAGAAAATGGTACAATACATACATTTTAAAACAAATTAAGAGACTTTATATACACACAGTAACATTTACATTCAATGAAATGAACATAGGTTATATATGAAGCTTACCCACGAACAGAAACATAGATACATGCTTTTGACGGTTCTAACACATGGTGTTATAACCGGTCGGGAAAGCCTAATTTCACACCATGTTTGACTCGGCTGGAAAGAAATTAAAAATATGATCAACATTGTGATCAGAGAGACATTTTTGAGTTGTCGTTTATGAATCATTTGTTACTAGAACATGTTTTAAAAAGATTGACTAAATGTGGTTATATTACTTCATTGCAGCCCTACAAGAAAATAGGGAGATTTATCGTGATACTGAATAAAAACTAACACGAGATAAAAGCTGCAAGCATTCCGGATGTAGATCAGCTAATTAACATAAAAGAACGGCATAAATTTAATTGGCCGATTAAGGAAATGTCAAGGTTAAGCAGCATGCAGATTACATGTCAAGTATAAGCGGTAAGAGATATCACTCAGACACAGAAATTCATATCTGATACATGACTTATATACACACTGACACAACATAAATACTCCACAATAATCCGGTTGTTTAATTACATTCGTTTTCAGCCAACATATTACATAATAAATGGCAAGAACATTTACGAGCTATGAACTGACAGACTAAGTATTCAAACGTCTCTCTGGGCTCTAAAAGTAAGTCCTAATGGTCTGTAATAACCTGAATAGTGGAACATTCAGGATTATTGTCCATACAATAATCGCACAACTATCACGAAACTGTACCTATCACTTCCCAATCAATGAGCATTTCTCAGTCCCCGTAACGATTAAGAGAATGAGAAAAAAGCATATTGTTTCGATCATTTTCAATACTTCTTATAAGAAAAAATGCACGTTTATTGTCATCCTTGGCCATCAGTGATGAAAAATGTAAGTACAAACTAACTGGAATCATAACAAATGTTGACACTTTGCTAATACACGGCTGAAGTTGCACCCAGTCGTTTGTTTTATGTGATGCATTGTCACGAATTGAAATTTCCGTAATTTGTTCAGTCATCAGACCTATAGCATGTTCAATGTAGAAGCAGCTAACTAGCATAAATCTATCCATCTATAACTAATGGCCCAAATTTTCCACCATGTAAATGATATGAAATAAATGTCATGATAATCCTCTCCAATCTCGAAAATTCCGCAGCACCCGAGACGAGCAAAGCACACTCATTGCTAAATGTATCCATTTGGCTTAAAATCCTTCACATTTAAATGAACTGTACTGTGACTACCACGGAAAATTTTATGTTCGTATTTGATTGCTGGCATACACTATAGAACTTGTTAAATTATACTGATAATTTAGTTTTTCCAAACGAAACACAAAACATGAATAGCCGTCGCTCAAAACTTTCTCTAATTTGTGACGCTTTTTTAATTCGTTGCAAGTGGATTCAAGATGAAATTTGGCCACGTATACACTCACAGGAAAGTGATTGAAAACTCTGAATAGAACGAAAATCATTTAAAGATCGCAAACTGGAAACTGCATGATAATAACCACTATATCTTTTTGTGACAGAATCTTTAATCGTTTGAAAAGAAAATGAATATTGACTATAAAAATCGAAAGCAAGAGATAACACTCAGACGGCCCTTGCAAAAACAGAACCAATATTAATCGAAATTACACTGACCCGGTGCTGAGTCATTAAGAGTAAGAGGAATAAGAGGACAATTAAGAATATAGAAGAACATCAGTCACCAGGTAAAATTTCACATTAATTTTAGGTGTAATACTTTAATGCTCCATGCGGTGCCACTGAACATTCACAACATCAACACGACTGGAAGACGATGCGATGTAGACAAATCAGCTAAGTTATTTCGAACACAAAACAACAGACAGTCATTGAACGCTAAGCCATTTCTACGTTCGCTTAATGCGAAGCTTACATGTAACATTACAGTAACGCTGATGTACGTCCAGAACGAACTGGATTAGAGAAAAGTGATACGTGTCTTTGAGAGGCTTTATAATGATCATTGAAATAAATTGAACGACCAACAGAAACCGTGTTAGAACGAATTAAAATGTCAGAAGCTACCACAAATATGTGTGTTAGGCGCATATGGTAAAAAATATAACTCAGTACTCACTGCAGTGCGTGACAGAGAGCGCATTTTCTCGTCGACGAAAACTTGAGGTCACGGACAGACGGACGGACAGACGGACGGACAGACGGACGGACAGACAGACGGACATGGCGAGCACAATAGTGCATTTTTTCCATAAATGAGAAAATGCACTAAAAATACCGAATGTGATAGGCGGCACATTTAAATCAGAAGCGGTTGGTCATAAAATATCAAAGATAAATGCTTCATGCCCCGTCGAAATGAAAACGAGAATATGTTAATAACAAAGCAACTGGATGTCATAGGAATTTCGATAATATACAATCTAAGCCCAAATGCACATTTGAGGGTCAATATTTAATACAATGCAATTTACTAGAATATGTAACGATTCACTTTTACCAAAAAAAGAGTCGTATATAAGAATGATGAAGTTACCATGCAATATCTGGGCAGAGATTGAGAACCACTCGCTGGCATTAGCAGGTAATTCTGAGTGATAAAGATTTCGTGTCTCGGACGGAGAATCCCATTGCCACAAATAACTCGCCGAAGAAGAAACGGAAGAAATGTGTAGAATCGTGAGAACGAAAATTATAAGCATTCCAAAAATCGAGGAGCCAAGATAATCATTAGAAATGATAAAGTTTTTCATTTGAGATCCAAGTAATAATGATGAAAAAGAAAAAAATGCTTGGCCACATAAAACCAGTTGGGCGTGTATGAGCCAATTGTATATAGAATAATCAGCAACTTCAGACAATCAGCATGAGAAATAGCGGAACGATTTTAGTACGCACGAAAAGTAATGGTGGCCACATATAAAAGTCCTGAATAAATAAGATAATGTGCAAGGAAGAAAAATTTCGTAGGTGAAAAATATTAGCTTTTACCATATGAATTCTAAAAAATATCATGCTATTTGAAAATGAAGAACTCTAATCAACTCAGAGGAAAGATTTCTACCCATGTCCAATAAGTAAAAATGTAAACGAGTTTTCGGTCGATTAGGGAATATTTCTACTATGATAGTTTTGGAAGCCATAGTATAATTTAATCGCAAACTGCGTTATAAAATGTTTAAATAAAAAGCAAACTAAGAATCGGTGTTGGTCATCATAAAGTAAAATATTTTTCTAAAAGTAGAACACACTTTACAAGTGTCATTTTGGTCAAATATTACCAAGCCTGGAAAATGCATGAGATACATAACACGATTCCTTAGGCAAAACAAACGAAACTGCAAGATCCCATAGAAGATTGTTTAAAATGTGTAGGTACTCGCGAGAAGAGTGTCAAGTAAAGATAACCAAATCATCCACGACTACATTTAAAAAAATCACGCTGTTGATCCTTATGAAAACGAGATTAAAAGTAAGAAAATTTCTAGACTTAAAAGATTGTATGACTGATTTCGACCGTCAAGATGGCAATTTCTAAGCTAAAAGTATAACATTGATCGTTTTAATAGTTTGTTAAAAACATTCGTATTGATAGACGAATCAAGGTAAAATATGCGAAAATGTCAGGACTATAAAGGTAATCTGTTAGTTTGGGTTAAGAATAACTTGGATGTAGGATTGGCTTGTGAGGATATGAGGATAATATTGACCGCTTCAACAGTCCGGGTTAAGAGTGACTTGTATGTAGGAATGGCTAATTAGGCTATGGAGAGGACGCTGACGGTTTCAACAGTCCGGGTTAAGAGTAACTTGGATGTATGAGGTCGGCACGAAGCCCTCTGTGCCGTCGGGAGGACCTCTCCTGACGCGCGTCCAGCCGTCCCCGGCGTCCAGCTCTATGACAAGCAGCTCGTCGCCTTCAGCGAGTGCCATGCTGCCTTCACTCAAGCCTGTCATAGAATTATTCTCTTATAACAAATAAAAAAATCCTAATTTTTCATGACACTTACTAATAGAGTATGATAAAGTACATTTCCGATTAATTATCAGCCTCTAAAAACTTAACATGCTAAGTATAAATAAAATATCCGAATAGATGACGAGAAAAGTCGAGTTTAAGTGACAGCCAGCAGCCGGTCAACGCCTTAAATCTTCACAACATTGATATACGTGCTATTCAAACGTCTCTAGTTATAAAAAAAATGAATTTAAAAATAAATCAAGTGCTGAGTCTGCAGTTTGTTTCAACTATTGAAAATAGGAGATTGACCTAATTATGGAACAAACATTTTCGTTCAAAGAATAAAATGTTGCAATTCAATGCTAGCATAAGCCAGGAACAAGCGTGAAGAGATTTAGTAAGACTAAAGGGAATAGGAAATGCAGTGAAGACAAAACACACACGTGTAAAAAAAATGAAATAAAATACTCATATAGAAATATTAGGCAAAAATAAACAAAGTACCAAACTGAAAGAAAGTTTTGAAGGTAAAATCACTTGTTTGCCTCTTTGTAGGCGCGTGTTCAAGAAATTAAAAATTTATTTGCTTGCAAGATTTAGTGAAAAACATGAAAATTCTTTCCAACGAGAAAATGATGTCGCGTATAAAGAAAATCAGTTTTATATTCTTCAAACTAGTAAAAATTAGAAAGTGATTCTGTGGTTCTTACACTGAAAATTAAAAGTTAAGAAGGGAGAAACCACGATCATCATTGCGTCATATAGGTGACAACATTCTTGCAACACTAATTTATGAAAACCTAAATAATTTTAACCCATTCAAACTAACCATGGAATTTTTTCGCCCAGTCAAACTCACCATCGAAATTAAAGAGAGCTCGGCACGACCCGATAACAGGCAAGGGGTCGAGGTCATAAAACTCGGCAGAATCATCGGCAGCGTCGTCGGCCAAGTCGACAGAGTCTGTTTGTGAGAGGCCGCTGGTGTGGAGAGCGTTGGAGTTGGAGTGCAGAGCGCTGGGGTTGGCGTGTAGACTAGAGCCGCCGTTCATACCGCCAGTCTCGGAGCCGTGCAGGGAATTGTGACTTAGACTTATGCCGCTCTCGGGGCTGTGAGACGAACTGCAGGGAGAACTGTCGCGTTACTTTAAGGATTAGTTAAACATGACACGGAAATTAAATGCAAACATTCACAAAATCAGTAATTTGTGAATTATTTAGAGGTTTAATAATTATCTACGGGGAAAAAAATGAGTGAACTGTTGACAAATTTGATACGAATTCGGTTCCAACATCGACATGAGTTATTGTTTAATTAATTCCAAAAGGCATATTTGCGGAAAATCGCTTTGATATCGATACAATGGTTCCAAATTTGAAAGAAACTGAGCGTGTAAAACCAATTAATTTTAACTATAAGTAAATTAATTCTAAGAAAAGGCAAAGGCATTTTTTTCCACTAAGCAGAATAACGTTAAGACTACAAGGACTCGAAATTTTCTTGCAGATAGAGGTTTCAACACAAATTGAAAAATCAAGAGTAATATATAACAGCAGTAAATCAAAACAGTTTCAAAAAAATTTCATTTATCTAAAAATAAAGAATAAACGGCAGCAAGTAATAAAGCAATGTGATCTTTGTTATCAGAGGATGTGTAGTGTGAGGGGTTAGCTAGCATCGTAAATGCTTTTTATAACATAGGATCGTTAATAAAATTTTTAATTCATGTGGCGAGTGAACAAAGCATGTCAGGTACCATGGTTCAGTTTATTAGTTAGTAATGATGCGGTCGAGTTGCACGCGTATTGACAAGGCAAACAATCCAATAAAGATGAGTAATGGTGTAGTGAGATATGTAACTCAGCATGGATTTACGTTAGTTCAAATTAACAAAGTATGACAAGTACTGATGCGACAAAGACATATCAACTTCCAAGAACTAAATGATATCTTCCAGGAACTAATTGTTGTAAGCACAGGAAATGAATTGGAGCAAGGAAAAGCGCGATTTAGAAACGTTAAAAACATATTTGAATAAAGTCGACGAGAGTTAGAAACGTGAAACATTATTAGATGATTAACACTAAAAGCAAGAGGCAATACATTAAACAGCGAGAAAAACTTATTATAGACAAAGAAGATTATTTATAAGAAAGCAGTAAATCAAAAATGTAGAGAAAATTCATTCATCCATTCAACCTGGTAAATTTCTTAACTTAGCAGTAACTGAACAGGTAATCAATGCGACCTTTCCTTCGTTCAGATTTCGAATTTCGTTTAAATCAACTCTGTGTACGTATTCCACAAGACAGTCAAGACAGCCAACATAGGCTTTACCATTAGTATAGGAGCACAATACTCAGCATGCAAATGAGAGAAGTCAAAACGCACGATGGCAAAAGGCGTCTTTTCAAGGAAAGAAATTTTACATTGATCTCTGCTGTACTACTTTATGAATTAAACAGATCCAAATAATAAAAAGGACAGTGAAATTATTTAGATTCCTAACGTAAACAGTAATAGAAATAGAATCAATAAAAGATTCTGAAGGATCTACTGAGACGAACAATGACTTTATCATTCATGCACTTCTATAACGGACATTCACATCTTTGTTTAGGAATGAAGCAAAATAACTTTAACAAGCAATTATAAATAACGTTTCAACACACGGAATATAATTTTGAGAACAGGTCCCTATATTACATAGGTCAGAAGTAAGAAAGACTGCAGGATGCAAACAAATAATGAAAAGAATGAGCAACTGAAGGTAATAAAAATAATTAAGATAGATGGAAAGAATTTGAGCAAGAAAAGAAAGCGATGGAAAGAATTTGAGCATAAAAAGAAAGCGATGAAAGTTTGACGGCATGATGCAACGATGAGAGCGAGGAAGACAGGACACGAGAAGCACCGCACTAACCCTTGAGGTGTTATGTTAGTGGTGACGGTGGTGGTGGTGGTGGTGCTAGTGTTGTTTTGTGATGTGATGACACCACCAGTCGACGCGGGACTACAGGATAGTAGCAAAGAGGTGGCAGCACTACGGGTGGGGGGTGGTGGAGGTGGTTTAGGAGCGGTGGTAGTGGTGGTGGTGCTAAGAGAAGTGTTCGAGGCTGACCGAGAAATAGACTCGTCGCTTAGGGAAGTTCGGTGGGAGTTGATGGAGGAGCGTGGGGATGATCCATGTCCAACTCCCACAACAGCCCCGTTACGAGGGGACGAAGAATGGCTTCCGTTGGCCTGATGGAGGTGGGAGTTTGGAGTTAGACTCCCAGAGTGGGAGTGTCGACTGGGAGGTGTGGGTGAAGGTTGTGGAGGCTCAGGATTATCGAGCATCGTTTGGTACTTGACGAGATCGCCTTTGAGTTTCTCGATGGTAGAGTAAGACTCGGAAAGCTGGCCTGTGATGGTCAGAGGGTCGCCCAGTGAAGGATTTGCTTCGTAAACTTCCTTCATCTTCAACAGCGCATCCCTGCGATCAAAAGAAAATCAAACACCAATCTTAAACTAGAAAATAAGCGATGAATGAAAAAACGCAATGACAATAAATAATGAACATCGCCTGAAAACTAGGAAGAATTTTTTTTAATGACTCTGGGCAAAAGAGATGAGTAAATAAATATCACTAACACTAATACACATTTCGTAAATAAATAGAGTTCTATTCCAGAGCAATTATTTCTCGCATGATTTCCATTTCCAGCGCACGGTTTGACAAGCACATGGAACGGTTACATACACAAGCAAAAATTTGTAGGTGAAATAGGATCTGATTACGTAGGAGAGCACAGAAAGGTCTTCAGCTCTGCTGTGATCAGGGTAAAAATTTTGTAGTTGCAAAATACAAATTGGATTATTGAATCAACTCATTATATATTCAATGTGCTCATTAACACCCGTAAGACAAGACTTCTAAATCACACTATAACTTCTCGGTGAATTGTTAACCTAGTTCCATAAATATAAAGAAGTGTTATTAGGGCAGCATTACAAAACTTCAAATACGTTCTAGACGACAGAAGACCAGTCCGTGAATTACGAGAAGCGACATTTATGCTATAATTCTTTTTAATTGTCATTGATGACGTAGCATACGTTTAATATTATGTTCACAACATTTAAAGTAAAATCACGTGACGAAGATCAACATAGAAGCACGAATACGTACATCCAGAGCACGACGATGAGGACATAGACCAGTAACTAAAACTAGAGCAACCAAACAACGAAGCAAATTATTGAACGTCTGACCATCAGTAACAATCGTACGACGATATTACTGTGTATGCGGTTGTTTTCGCTTCTACAAAATCCCTACGAATTTTCGAATGGAACTATTCCATAAAGAAAAATATAAAATCCTTGCAAATCTTTGAATAGAAGTATAACGTAAATAAAATAACTATGATCGATTACAGGCCTTTTTTAAAAGAAACACATGCCGCCTTAACACCGCAATAATAAGTAAAAAGCAACTTACCTGGCGGCTGTCTCTTGGTTCAACTTGCTCGTGATCTCTTCCATTTTCTGTTGTATTTTCTTCCGTCGTTGAGTGGGCGGGAGTTCACTGAAGTCCTCCTTATCATGGGTGGAAGAATTGTTGTGCTGCAAGTAAATACAAATTAGATTACATATCAAGATATTGCAAACCTCGTCCACTTAATCAGTTATGGAACAACATTCGAAACTAAAAGATTAAAGAGGTACGAAAATAAAGTACTACTGTATTTTTTTACACGAAAATTGACCTAATTACATAGATAAAACAGGGTTAAAGTATAATAACATAGATAAAACAGGGTTAAAGTTATCTGAAAACTTTCGCTATAAGTCTGGCTAGTTCTAGTGTAACAATCATATTTGACGATCTAGCGAATATATTCAAGGGTGAATCTGAATCCTAAATAAGCTACTCAAATATCCGTGTATCACGGATACGGTACTCTTGGTAATGATTAACATTACGAGGGGCTTCAAAAAGTTCGTGGAAAAACAACAGTTTGAAAAAACGATATAAGTCATATTTATTTTAATACATATGCTTTATCTAGGCTGATAAATTTCTGTGAACGGTGAAATGAGGGTGTCTTCTACTTATTTGTTGGTTATTCGCCCATCTTTATCAATGACATCACGAACAGCATCCCTATTTTCTCCACGAACTGATGTACGGGGCCTGCCTTAGCGGAGGTCATCTTTGGTCTCATTTCTTTTGCTTCTGGAACGATTAATCAATGAGTAGGTTGCTTATTTATTTGAGGCACTGTCACCATAAACTTGTTCCAGAGAGTCAATGATTTGGATATTCTTTCACCTCGAATTTAATGTTGGACCTGGCCTCGACTTGGGCAGATGTCAAGTTGCATGAAAGGTTGTTGCTTTTATAACAGCGTCCCCCATTTGTAACATTAATTTAAGGGTTCATGAGAGAACACTTTATAAAACATTGATATAGGATCATTCTGGTGCATTGACATCATATTCTTCTCTTAAATTGTTTAGTTATGTACATTTCCACGAACTTTTTGAAGCAACCTCGTATCTATTAGAAAAAAACCACACGATTCCTCAAAACCGACAATTTCTAATATTCTCTTCCCACATATTGCAATAGCATTGAAATAGGTTAGTAAAATGTGAGTTGTGTGTAAGAGTGCGGAAGAATTCTAAAACTTCCTTAGCCTAAATAAAACAGGAAATATTGTGAAAACGCTGATAAACCGATTTCAAACTATCACGATAAAAAAATATTTTACTTTAAATATTTAGAAATAATTGATTTTGAAAATGGTAAATTTTTAATTTAGACATAAATATTAAAATCTGGGAGTTTTGTAAGACGCTATTAGATATGACGTAGATAAGAAACTATTGACTGCACGGTCGATTTTTTTTCAAGTCGAAATTATTGGTGGCAGCCTAAGAATGAACTCCACGTGATAGAAAGCTTTTTGAAAAAAATCCTAGCACTCAAGGAATGAAAATATAATAAATACGACCTATAAGTAAGTCAAGTTCAGTGAGTATGAACATGAATTGGTCGAAGCAAGCATGATGCAATGATGTGTAAAAAGAAAAGTAAGCAAAATGATTATACATGTTAAATAAACAGTCGTAATGTAGTAAATATATTAAAGAAACTACAAGTTACACAAGAAGTCTTCAATAGGTTAAGTTAAATAAATTTCATCATGGCCAACAAAAAAAAAAAATACTTGAAGCTCTCACATGACGATGACAACACGCGAATCAATTCTAATTCAATAAAATACGCGGCCACGAGACACGACCTTAATTAAGTGACTACGATAATTTCCCACACTGCGAGATGCAAAAAAAATACTAATAAAGCAAAGCAGTCTCTAAAACCATTCAAGATTATATCCACTAATTACATCTCCCTGCAATTCAAGAGACACTAGTGAGTTGCAAGTCGGCTACTGTAGTGTAGATACGACACACGAAATGGAAAAATACCAGATTAAGTACATATAGAAAGATTGATTTCGTATTGATAAAAAGATTTCGTATCCATATTATCCTCAAGTGTACCTAATATCGCTCAAGTGAACATGAGCGAGCGTCAGCACCTAGAAGTCTTGTTGAGCTCGTGAATATTTTTTCGATATTTGAGCCCGTATTCAACTAACAGCATTATTCGTGTGAAATATTCTCATTAAAATTAGAATGAATACTGAAGCTGAAGAAGTAATTTTATAGATAAAATAGAGAGATAAAATTAATATAACTAGTTGCAACCTCATGACAAATAAAAAGCAATAGAAGAGGCACGAAAACTAAAAAACCTCAGAGTGCGCGCGATTGCGTGGCCGTTATAGAAATGTGGCGATGTTAATGCGAGCGACAAAGAATATAATGTGATAAGAGGCAGTCAGAGTACAACGCAGACGGTAAGCTCATACCTAACAAAAGAGGAGAGAGAAATTAAATTCTGCGTGAGGATATGATGCAAAAACGAACAAAAGCAAATGGATTACAATCTCACACAATACGTATACTAGTACATACAGTCGTCCCCCGGGGTACGGAGCGCTCTAGTGAAGAAGTTTTAGAAGGTTTCATGAGGAATCGTTCGGTCCAACATAAGACCTTGCAAGATTTTCGGTTTCGAGGAACAAAAATTTCTTCAACAAATCGACTCCGTACCACGAGGGATGACTGTACACAGTTAAGCAGCATAATTGTTTAACTTATTGCAAATAAAAGGCAGTGAGTAAAATGGCTGGTATGCACACGGTCACACGGAAGTGGTGCATTCGTTTTACGGCATGCGCAGCCTTCAACTTAATCACAGCTACCAGAACGAAGTACTACTGATACAAATATTAATTTTGCCCATTTACAATGTAAACAAAACTATGACAAAATAAAGACAGGGCAATCAGAATCATGACGGTAGAGAGGTGGAACAAAATACAGAGAAATGTAGCAATGCATGAATAATAATAAAAATTATTAGTTGTCCGTAAGTGGATATGCTTGAATAAGGCTGAAGACTGCACACATGCGTCAATAAATCCCACGTGTCGGTTATAGTGAATTGAAAGCTCGGCGATTGTGTATACGCGCCAGCACAAAACGAAGCTCTCGTCAATAAGATAAAAGTAAATGATGGCAACAAATTTATGATTGTTTGTAATTGTAGATACATGAATATCACGTCAAAATTATTGATCGGTGAACTGAAATAAACCGATATCTTCAATTATTGGCTTATTGACGAGAGCCTAATTAGTGTATGAACGATAAAGAGCGCTTACAGGATTTACTTACAGTGACTTATGGTAAGGGACTGAGTAGCTTAGCACATATTGAGTGGCCATCAGCCGACATCACCGACAGGGACAGTGAAACATCGCATTAAAATCTTTTACGGCACACTATAATATCAAACTCAGAGATAAGACAAGATTTAGGTAATGAAAATGGGCCAAGCAGGGTTTTAAATTTCTAGCTCGATAACGAATAAAATACAACTAACAATGTCATCAGGCTAATTAAATTTGTCATCAAAGATGATCGCTACAGTTTAAATGAAAGACTTGCTGGCAAAGTTACTTTTGTTCCATGAAAAGTTCGATGCTGCTAGTCTGGTACAAAAAGACAGCGTTGAAACTAATAATCGCAAGTGTCAAAGTCAAACAATCATTCCAATGAACTAATAAAAAACTGTCGATAGAAATCAGAAAAACTATTTGAAAAAATAAATGATGAACAATTTTGTCCTATTGCAAATGCCATTACTGCGTCTATTTAGAAATAAGGCAAGCAACTAAAGGTTTCAGGAATGGTGGAAGAAATCACCAAACTAGCTGTAATTTAATGATATAAAAAAGCTAGGAAACGGCTCAACCGCAGATTCTAAAATAAATCAAATGGATTTAAATGCAATTTAGAACGCTGTTATTCCATACGAAACCAAGTAGCCTCAAATACAGATGGTGACTTTCATCAACAGCGCAAAGAGCGTGCGTCACTGTTGGTCAGATTGAAATTGGAATTCAAATACGACAGAAATAGATGAAAAAAAAAACGATGAGCAGATTCCAACTCCATCAAGTCGCTCTATAAATTGAAGAACTTCGGGCGTACAAACGTGACTTTAGCAGCAGCTTGGTTTCTTTTCTATACTAAAATACAAAGAAGTTTTTGATGCGCAGAAAACAATTACACAATCTCGAGGAAAGAAGTTGTACTTAAATGTCGAAATTGAACAGGTATCCCGTGGAAAAGATGTTCCGTTTTTTTTATTTTTCAGTGAGAATACCGGGATAAACTCAACAAAGGGATATATTGCATGAATCAAATCTAATAAATTGAGTAACCATTGAAAGTAACCTCTAAGAAAATGCCACAAGCCTCATATACTATGCAAAATTGAACACTAAAGAGTATATATTTCGGTACACAGCGAAAAAGGTATGTCCGTACCTGGCATGGATTCAATTGATTTTATTAAACGAAGGATATTTATTAATGATACCATTGGAATAATTAGATGCCAGAAAGTTTTTCCAAAGAAGCAACGACAGAAGAAGAGCCACAACGAACTCAAATGAAGGGCTCAGCGCGGCCGGTAAGATAGGAAACTTTCAGCGGCCACCACGTAAACGCGTCGATCATGAGCCATTGAACGGTACGCAACCACGGATATAATTTTTGCATCGAAAATTACGATGTGAATCAATAACAAATCAAAACAATCAGAAGTAACGAACCCAAAGCCTTCTGATCGACGGGACCCTGATGGTTACTGCGAATGGCAATTTGAAACGTCTTCTCATCTGGAGAAATGAAAATTATCTCTTAATACTTGACCGTTTGAAGTAAAACGGTAGTGATAAAACGGTAGTGATTACGTTTGAAGTAAAACGGTAGTGATTGAAGTGATTTAGAATGAATGCGATAATTTTGGTCACGAGTCTAGGAAACTGATCAGTAAAGAAGACGATGAATTAATAAACTAGTGATAGATATGTAGTAGTAATAATAATTAGACGAAATAGAGAAGAGAACGTCAGCGAAAAATTTGTTTCTGAAGTTCAAGAATAAAAAAAATTCTCCCTAATCGAAAGCTTTAACACTGTTGGCCGGCAATGTGATAATCAATTCGAGCCGTATTTTGATAATAAAATAATAATGAAACTCGTATTTTTGCTAGACAAAGGGGGTCGAGTTCCGGTAACATGAAGCAACAAATCACTCAATAGTCCAAGGTGGAAGTTCGCGAAATTTCCAACTCCGTGGGAAAGACAAAAAACTTTTTCAGTAGAAATGTGAAATAAGGAAATTTTAGCCGAAACTCCCCCAAGATGATGCAAGATGACAACTAAGAAATTTTCCGATTATGAAAGAACACTTACTTCTAAGTTCGATAACCCGAAGACGGACGTGAGCGATAAAGTTTGAGGAAGTGACAATCTTGATAAATTTTAGCTAAATACCTAATTCAGACCGAAAATACCAACACGTGATTTAAAATTCAAATAAAGTTTTTCACTAAACCGTAGTAGAATTTATGTCAGAATCAGGCTTTGGCCTAGAAACCAATCCCGCAGTCGGCCAATATTAGGGGTTTATCAGGATATATACTAAAAAATAATGGTGCGAAGAGAAGAAGCTAACTTGCCTTATTAGAGCCGAAAAGTCCGGTGAATAGATTGGCTCGCTTGCGAAGTTTGGCGGCAGAAATGGTTCCTTTAACGGTATCAGACCGGTGTGCTGGGTACCTGTGATTAATATTACAATTAGGAAAATTTGACATCAATAAGAGGGAAACGTAAACAAAAGGAAGAGAGGATGTGAGCAGCAGCGTCAGAAAATGAAAGTAAGGAACAGCTGCATAACAGAGGAAAACAAAGGTTGGTTTTCCGCTCGATAAAGAGCCAATAATTAACGCTTGGCCCTTCAGCCCTTCAGTGTAAAATTGTCAAGGTTCAGTTGGCCGGTTCTAGTGTAGAATCTGTCAAGGACCAGCTGGCCGGTTCTAGTGTAGAAACTGTCATTTTTTAGCGATATTCACCCAACCCGCTATAAGTATCGACAATGTTTACTGGAATCTAAAAGCAATTTTTTAGCGATATTCACCCAACCCGATATAAGTACCTATCGACAATGTTTACTGGAATATAAAACTAAGTTTCTACAGTGATTTTCACCCATGAGAGCCAGGAGTGGCGTTGCTGGAGGAGTTGTACCCTGGCAGGGAGTTGGTGTCGCCGTCGCTGCCGTTCTGGCGGTTGGCGCTCAGGTCATCGAACGGCACGTCGCCGGGTGGTTCGAAACCCGATTTGTATTTCTCGATCACAGCTTCGGAATCCTGCACGAAAAGAATATTATAATAGAAGATAATTGCGTCGTTTTTTCAGTTATACGACTGTGTAAGACTACAATGACGGTATCAAGCTGAATCGATCCAAAAAGCAAATAGTATCTCGAAAGTCGGAAGGATTAGCAGGAAAAACCCTTCAGCATTACAGTAAGATTTTATTTAAATTTGAAGACTAATATTAAAAAACGGAGATGGTACACAAATATTCGCCCAACCCATCGAATAGCATTACCATTTATTGATCATGTCTGCGCACCGAAGAATAGGCGAATGTTATCTAAAACAAATTATTAAAAAGATAGATAGTTGTTCGTGTTTACAGTTGCGTTTTGTTGTGGAAAAATTGGAAAACATCAACTGCTCTTCCTATTGATGGCTCATCAGGATCCTATTCGAGAGGCTAATGGCATCACAGATTTTCTCCGATGCAATTTGTGGCACCAAGAAAAACAAACTAAGCTGCTGGGCAGGCGAGAGTGTAGAGGATCTACGAATAGGTAATAAGGCTTGAAATGTCGTATATTTTCTACTCAATGTACAAACTGAACCGATCTCTCGATCAGCCTGGTTTTAAGGTAAAATGCGAGCGAAAACTAATGAACACGAAGTAATTTCTACAAAGGTACTACTAGTGTTCTATGTGATTTCACCTCATTTCCTAAAGTTAAAAAATATAACTCAGTACTCTGCATTGAGTGACAGAGAGCGCATTTTCTCGTCGCCGAAAACGTGAAGTCAAGGACAGACGGACGGACGGACAGACATGGCGAGCACAATAGCGCCTTTTTTCCACAAATGAGAAAATGCGCTAAAAAGAATTGTAACTTACGGCGCCTTCGTCGATGCTCTCGGCAGCTTTGACGATCCCGTCCAGACATTTTTCAAGTATTGGGTAAACGCGGCGCTCAATTTGTGTGCTCTGTATCAATAAGTTCTTGAAGTCTTTTATTCTCTTCATGTCCAGCTCTTGAAAATTCTGCATAACGCCAGGAAGCAGCGAGTTATAGTGCTCGTTCTGAAAAGATAATATGAGATATTAAGCGATATTTATACCTAGTATAATATTACTGATATTATTATTATTAGCTAAAACAACATGGAGCGAGCGCGAGGTATGAAACTAGAGCATGAAACAAGGAATGGGTTTAGGAGAAACGAGAAAATGCAACAAACAAAGGCAAGTGATGCAGAAACTTGTAAGCTAATCCAGATTTATTCATCAATAAACACAACGAATGATCTCTGCTTGAAGATATAAATAAATTATCGTCGCGACATCAAGAGACGTGAAATACTTATACAATGAATGTTGCGATTCAATTCATATCATTGGCCAACATACATAAAAATAAGAGAGACCGGCGCGACATTATTAAAGCATTAATTCCAAAGTCCTGTAAACAGCATACGATAAATCAGGGCTAACCTGAAGGGCATTAGTTTTTTGCAGTTGGTTAGCGTATTCATTTTTGTGGTCTTCGCTGTTCTGGCTCTTGATGCTGAGGCTCATCTTGGTCTTTTCCACCTCGGCACGAGAAAGATTGAGATCAGCATCTGCCCGTTGATAGTTATCTTGCGCCTGAAAATTTTAAGAATTTAATAAAAATACGTGAAATAGAACAAACTTATTACGTGGAGAGACTCATGTCTTAATAGTGACGCAAAATCAAACTTATAACAATGTTTTAAATTATCATAACCACAAGAGACAGAAGTTAATTAGAAGTATAGCGTGGGAGAATCGTGTGCGATAAATAAAATCTTTTCTGAACTAGAGCGGATTTTGAAAATAAATGAGTTACACTCTGTCCATCACTTGAATAAAAATACTGTTTATTTGAACACAATGATAATCATTTTCCTGTTACTATGCTACTATAGTGTGGGTGAAGTAATCATACTTTTTCTGCCTCTCTAAATGCTTTTTCATAATTTTTCTTGGCCTTTTCAAGCTGCTGATGTGAGGTTGACAACTGCTGCTGCAGTCGTGCTCCTTCTGCCAAGTTCTGGAAAAATTAAAATGAGATTAAAAAACTGGTTTCAGCAATTAAACCCAGCGTAACAATATTTTAACATATTATAGTGATCAATGCTTTTGAAAATATCGTTACTCCATTCGTTTCGCAGCCTAATCGATTTAAATTCTTAATATTTGCAAATAAACTCACTAGGTACTAAATTTTGCAATCACAGCGAAAGAAAAACAGGTAGGTTTAAGGAAAAGAATGCATGTAAAACCAATTATTTAAATTTTAAATTATTTCCAAATAATGCAAATATAACCGAAGGAAACCCAAGCAAACGAATGAAATAATTGTCAGAATCACAGGCTAAGAGAAAAGACCGACGCGTTATCCAATGCGAGTTATCGCCTGCCTCGCATTGGAGGCAGATAACAGCGAGCACATGATAAGAAACCTCGCTCTTCAGCCTCATTTGATAACGCGCACTCTGGCGAGTTCATGGCATCATAACTCGAGTACAAAAGGCCTGCAATTCTTTCCTGTGTTCCCATCAAATGTCTCACAGTTATTTTTGAGATTTTTTTGGCATTAATTCCATTACTTTCACCCCCAAACATTGTACAAACCAGCAAACTAACGTGGTCATTACTCTGGCTTTTGACCAGTAGGTAATTTAAACCTCAATCGTCACCAAAAAAACCTCATGTACGGAACACGGAACGTTGAAAAGATCCACGGAATAATTTGAGACGAAATTAGACATTACTCATTGATTCCAGATTAAAAGCCACTGTGAACAACATTAGTGATATTAATCACGAACGACCGGAGCAATAGTTAAAAAAATTTAACCACAAGTTACTCCCAATTTATCCAAAACCCGAATTTCCGGCAAACATCCAGAGCTACGGAAAGCAAGCGACAATACCCAAGATAAAGCCAAGATAAATTCTGGACCTTTTTGCGCTCCTCCTTGAGCTCCTTGATGAGGTCGTGCACTCTGGAGACGATGTGCTGGTTAAGGTCCTCGGCAATGAGCTCGTGCTGACCCGCCATGTCGCCAGTCTCCTTAATGCTGTCGCGAAACGCCACCAGCACCGTAAACCTGACGTACATAATTACATGTGCGATTATTGAAAAGTAAGTAACGAACAGTCTACTTAATGCTGTCGCGAAACGTCACAAGCACCATAAACCTGACGTACATAATTACATGTGCAATTATTGAAAAGGAAATAACGAATCGTCTAATTAATGCTGTCGCGAAACGTCACAAGCACCGTAAACCTGACGTACATAATTACATGTGCAATTATTGAAAAGGAAATAACGAATCGTCTACTTAATGCTGTCGCGAAACGTCACCAGCACCGTAAACCTGACGTACATAATTACATGTGCAATTATTGAAAAGGAAATAACGAATCGTCTACTTAATGCTGTCGCGAAACGTCACCAGCACCGTAAACCTGACACATGAGAACGATAAAAACAATCAGACCCGAATGATTGGAGGGATCAAAATAAAATGTTGCAAACCGATCAGCATACAAAACCAAGCTACCAAGTCAGGTCATGAATATAATAGTGATACAGACAAGGGAATAATTTATGTAGACGTGGAAAAATGGATGTGAGAATACGAAACGCTGCTACATGCCTGGAATCAGGTTCACGAGACATGGAAGCTCTAAGATAAAGGCTAATTTTATCGAGTGATGAATTTAATGCACCTATAAAAACACCGTCAGTTTATATCATATCTACTTTGATATTACTATGGTACATTCCAAAGCTACTTAAAAACCCGAATGTTAAAATGTTAAAATTATGACACAGTTGGAAGGTTTAACTTTGGATGCGTTCACAGCGTACAGTTAGGAAGGGAACGCAATATCTTCAAGTAACCTTCATTCAACATTTACGAGTCACGAACACAGAGGCAGAAGGCTAAATTATGACAATGGCTAAGAATTTCATAATAAAAAATTTGATTGAATAAAATCTCAAACCCGTCGTTGAGCCAAGTTTTTCCTGAGCAGCGAGGAGTAGAACCTTCGAAATAATAATTCAGGGCAGCTGCCAACCATCTGTCCAAGATGTTTCGAATATTATCGTCATCGTGACAGTGATCAGGCGTTATCGAGAACGACAGAAACAAATTCAACGCACATATAAAATTATGAAGACGGGAAATAAAAACGGCGGAAAAGCATTTTGTGATGTGAGACAAGTAAGGAAATCCTGTAGAAAGTAGAAGACGTTGGCTCAATCACCAGTCACTTCCCATGCGATACCAGGTCATGGGGCCAGGTAACTTGAGCTACAAATTAATAAAGGAATTCAATCTTGTACAAATGTACTACACCTTAATTCTCCGATAAGATATGAATACCCACAACGAATGAAATATGTTTACAATCCTAAACGGAATGATGAGAATGTCTCAAATAAAACCAATTTTTCAATAATCGTTAGAATGACGACGTTCAATTTTTCCTCACATTTTTAAACTTGAACATCGTGGCACTATACTAAAAAAATGTAAGTGATGCCTTAAAAACTAGATTTTTTCTTTTCAATTCAAGCTCTCTAAATTCATACGATAATGGAATGATTTCGCAAAAATGATCGAGGAAAACCTTAAAAATTCGTAAATTCTTCATGTTTCAATCTGTAACGAGATCGAGTATGACGTCTGTCCTTTTTGCTAAACATAAAATTGAAGTAAAAGAAGTATAAAAAATTATTCACTCATAAAAAATGGCATGCATTGTAGAATGGTATTATACACAACTGAAATATATTAAACGGAATGATGGGCGAACTTCGAACTGCACAGAAGGCACCGTTTCCAATCCTCAACAAAGAAAATTATACAATCGAATTATATACTTTTGAGCAACACTTGCAGCGTCCAATATTTAAGTTGAAACTAAATACTTACGTCATCATTGCTTACCTGCGCAGTATACATGATACGAAATCATCCGAAGGTTCAGACATTCGGCAGTAACGGTTTCAGGAACCTTACGTTCACGGTTAATTATTCTTCAAATTCCCTTTAGGTGGTATTTGTTGTTATTAAGGACAGAATATTCGCATCAGGAATCCAGCGTAAGAGCTGTAAATGATCCAGCTTGTAGCAACATGTGTGATAAGACACACAGTCAAGTCAATTAGATACATGTCTCTACAAATAACTTATTCATAGGATAACACAAAACAAAAAAGTTCGAAAACTGTTGATAAGCAAATAACCTAGAACAGTGATAAGAGAGTAGGAGGAAACACCAAGGTCTGTATCATAAATATAGGTGATAAAAAATTGACTTACTTCTCCGAGTCTTCTTTCTTTTTTGGCAGAAACGTCTTCACCAGCTTCCTGAAATTAAAAAAAATAATAATTACAATAAGTTTCATTAACTATTCTATATTATATTGGGCTCTAACATATATTGCCTAAAGATTGATAGTTTTCCTAACAGTAGAATTTTCTGAACGTTGTAACTACTTATCACTACATCTTGATATCTAGTCAACTTACTAGAGCGTAGCTATACCGAGCAGCAGGGCGAGCAAACGGTTACATAGTATGCGGGATGCTATACCGAGCGGCCAGGCGAGAATTATACTTCGTAATTGCCTGTATACTAGTGCCTATATAGTGTCGTGACATCACTGAACTTTAAAAGGAGACTGTACGTATAACAGTCATGAGATCAGGCCTCAGACGGAAACAAGGAAGAAGCGGCGGTGGCCTTGGCCCTATCTTATGTCGATGAGAGCGCGTTTCCTCTCACGCTCAGGGCTCACGATGCCCTTGCCTGTCACTCGATCTCTTCACCACGCGGAGGCAAAATCCTGACGTCAACGTGTCAATTGTAATTCAGATTTCCTCAATTATTATAAATTATAAATATTTACATGTCATGAGAATAAAATGAAAAACAAAGATATAAGGTTTCGGATGTGATTCAAATATTGAAGCAAGCATTACTTCAACACGACGGTTTGATCGATAGGAATTTTTTCTATCTACAGCAATTAATTCGAGAAAGGCATAAAACGATTTTACACCGTAAAGTTTTTTGGGTAGTTTAAAATACTATGAAAATTAGCGGATAAAGTTGAAAAATCAGCATGATGATACATGCATAATGGAGAAAAAACAAATTTCAGTTATGATTTTGCAGACTTGAACCATAATCGCTAATAAACGCTGGGATGTCTCTACATCCTAATTCACCGTCATACGTGTTCTGCATCAATGCAAGTTGCATCAAGAGTTATGCCCCGTAGCAAAGTTATTGTGATAAATAGAATTATGGATTGTAATTTTACCTAGCAAACGTGACTGAGTTTTTAATTTAAAGCGGCAGACCAGACGTCTCGTTGTATCGCGTAAAATGAGGTCAGAACCTGTCCATGAATAAAGCCAGCAACTTAAAGACTTCCTCGTCAACGGATCAATTAACCTTTAGATCTTGGCTACTTAGAGAGAAAACGAACTCTGTTTTATTAACATTAAAAATAGTGCATCCAACAAGAAGGCTCTATAAATGCAAACAATTAAAGTGTAAAACCTAAATCTTTGCTTGTCGTCTTGTCCGACATGACGCAATAAAGCGTTTTCGCACGTGCTTGTGAGCTCAAGGTATCACCAAGCAACGGAACCGAGCATGAGCCGAGAGTACAAAAACGAGGTCTACGTCGCGTACGCACGTTGCATTGAACGAGTACTACGTACGTACGGTAAGGGAGTTCCCTTTTAAGCATGGCAGTACTAAATATAGTACTCTGTTCCCTCGCCTCTAAATGAAGCTATTCATAGCACCCTCTACACGACAACCACCAGCGCCCACATAATCCTTTTACGCTAAAATTGGCAACTTCGTGTAGATAGCAAGCAGAAAAGCATGAGAGCGTCGGGTCTTCCGCGCAGCTTAAGTGATACCATAAAACTGATGGATAAAAAAATGAAAAAAGTAAAAAAAAATTATCCATGCCTCACTTATAGGTGATATAAAATAAGTTTAACTTAAATACAGTACATGAGCCATATGTTTGATACACGTAACACATAATATTGAAAGGAACAGTAGGAGTGTCACGAGCTAGGAAATTTTTGGAAAAAAATCGAAAAAATGAGAGTATCACTTAGTTTGCTGATACAATTCCTCACATGTGCAAGCAATTTCATCTGGACCTCGCAGTTATCTTCTGACTAAATGCAATCTTTTATCAATGCAACATATATGAACAATGCAAATGACTGAAAATTATATATTGTATCTATACCAAATAACACAATAGAAGTGCAACTGCAACAAGAACTGGACTCGAATGAAGAGAGTAAACGAGCAGTGTTAAGCTTAATGTATGAGCTTCCATTCAGAACTACACGAGTCCCAATGAATAAGACCTGATACTAACTCAGTTTGCCCTCTTCTTGTGAATGGATGCTCCAAACACAGGTTGCCTGCCTATCAGTGGCTGCAGGTCTTTAATCCTATTCTTCCTAGTGCCATTCGTTCATCTTAAGATGAATATTCTGGACCTGGACAGTATTGAATAGATCAGCCGTTGTTGGAGTAACATATTTCCCTTTCATCGTGCGCATTGTTCACTTTTGAATTGAAAAGTAAAGTAATGTAGATTCACGGCATAGCTAGAGTTAGGAAAGGCTACCAGCCTGAAATATATCAGCGCGCTCGATACTGCAAATTCGATCCCCATATCAATGGGTTAATTAGACGAAATGGATATCTAGCAACTAATAATAATTGAGGTCGATCATTGGGATATCTACTTCATACATACGATCTAATTTGCAGATACGATATGCTTATCAGACCAATAACTAAGAGTAAAAAGTAAGACGAAGAATTATTCTCAGACAAATTCTTTTATCTCAGTTTATCCAACGAGTCAGCCGGCTAGACAGTCTCTTACCCCGACAGTTGAAGTATCTATTTACAGTAGCGGCTTTCACGAGAAAAGTATCTGGTTTACACTCGTAAATAACACACCCTAAGGTGCTACAGACTGTCGCGGTTATAATTTATAAAGGTTGACGCATGTTCAGGGCGACGCTTTGCGAACGAGGCAAGCACATGCATGGCAACGTAAGCAAAACCACAAGTAAAACAGCACGAAAGAAATGTTTCAGCACGAGAATAGGGAAGAGAGAATACATGCTTGAAAGCTATGATTTTTGCATTGTTTATATTTCAGCAAAAAATATATTATATTTAGAGATATCGGTATATACCATTTGAATAACTAAAATGTTTGTTATATATTTACAGCAGCTCAAGAGCAAATACTGGCTAATTATTACTAGAATTTTCATAATATTCAGGCGTATGATTTTACTTCAGTACTAACAAGTCCACTAAAATATCCACAATAATATTCACAGTTGCATGTGTCAGATGGACACCTATGGATGAACTAGGAACGAAGCTTCTACAAGTTCAGGACATCAGCTAAGGACTTCATTTTCTCCACAGGATTATCATTTAAATGTTGAGTGGTAGATCGGTCAGGATCAGCATGACAGAGTAGAAGTGCCCCTCAGCATGAGATAGACGAGGAAATAAGTGTGAAGGGACTCTCTTACATGGATAAATTAGGTAGAACCTCGGACAAGATTACTGGGTCTCCACACAGCGTAATGACAGACGCCAACTTGGAGGGATTATACGAGTTCAGCAAATGACATAGATAACAAAATAATTTGGTATACGTCAAACGAATTAGCCTCAATGTTTTTTGTACTTTAATAAATCAGTGCGTCTAGTATCACGCAAATCCTGCATCAATAAATCGAGAAATGCTACGTATAAACAGAGTCGTAACTTATTTTATCTCATCATCCATCAGGTATGAATAAGATGCATCGTGTTAATTCAACGAGCATATGATGAATAGCAGTCTAAAGAAAAGCAAGCCGCAATTCATTCCTAAGGAACTATAGCCCCATGAATATAAAAAATATATAGAACTCAGTACTCACTGCAGTGAGTGACAGAGAGCGCATTTTCTCATCGACGAAAACGTGAACTCACGGACGGAAAGAAAGACTGACAGACATGGCGAACACAATAGAGCATTTTTTCCATAAATGAGAAAATGCGCTAAAAATAAGCCCCTTAAATGCACGGGATCATACGTCACAAGGGCAAGCAGGCTCGAGACATCGATCGATTATACGCTTCCACCCACGCAGCAACACGGCAGCCTGCAAGCATTGACAGAGCGCTCTGGTGGTGGTGTGAGGATGGGGGGCTCCACCTTAAAGCGGGCTAAATTCTAGCCTGAATATAACGAAGTAGAATTATACAAGCATTGTTTATTTGATTAATTTATATACGTTATGAGAGTCCTTTGTTGCTTAGATCATATTCTGATTGTAGCAATTTTTGAAGTCGATTCAACAATAGTTATGGCTTGGCAACGAATAACATATTAAAATGCAGAAAAAATTAAGATGGAAAGCACGCCCAAGTATTGAAACATACAATAAGTGACTATTACAATAAGTGACAGAATTAAATATTTTCAAAAACTAGAATTTGTAAGCAGGACTAAATGCAGTAGAAGAATTTCGGACACGGTTGAATTGAGGCAAACGGGAAACAAAAAAATTCTCTAAAACACGTCATATTAGCGAATTCATCAAAATTTTGATGACAGTTCGGTATCGCGTAATAACTTACTGCAATATTTGCGTCGTTAAACCTACACGCTGAAAACACTAAATTTTACCACATGTTCAAATATTTATGATAATAATATACATCCGATTTTTTTACCGCATTTGCCCACTCGATCACTATTATAAAAATAAAATCACGATTATCGCAAATTTACCTCAAATTAACCAACACCACCAAGACAATCCAGTTAACCCTCTACCGCCGTATGGCACTCTCTGGGAACATAACTTTCAACTTAAATTATACGTAAACTATTGGATGAGGACGTTTGCACGCAACAGAGAACATTTTAAAGTTGTCGTACGTGGCGGCAACCATCAGTGCAAGTCATTTTGCGCTCACTAGAACGTCTCCCTTTTAGGAAGGAGGCGAGTGACAATATTGCTCCGGTTACTCATGTCAGGCGGTAGAGGGTTAAATGACTGTATAAGCAACCGCTGCAGAAGCAGGTTTCTTCAGCAAGCATGAGGACTCACCCACGCGCGTAGCCACGCTACTCCGCACACGCACAACCTTCACTAGACGAGACGTGCAAAAAACAGCACCATAAAGCAAACGGCCCGCTGAGAACTTTCGATATTTTCAAGATTATACAACCACGCCTCAGCGACACGAAACAGATCTCAAACAAATAATCGTGAAAGTAATCGTAGTTTGTAAG